TCGACTTATCATTAGCTTACTGAGAACCGAAAAACCGAACCAAACCAACAACAATCAAAACCGATGGTTTGTATTTAATTTGGTTTGGTTTTGGTTTTAAAATTTAAAAAACCGATTAAATTGGTTTGGTTTTGGTTTTAATCAAAAACCGACCAAACCGAACCGTAACACGATTGATAGGTCGCATTCCTCTTTTTTTTTTAAACATCTTTTTTGGTCTAATTTTTCCACACTGCCCTCTCTCTTTCTTTACCCTAACCTTCTGCTGCATCATGTAGGGGTTCTCGTGGAGAGAACAGAAGTGGATGTCCTCGTCCATAAGAACCCCTTTCCTCTATTCATCTGAAGCCAAAGCCCCGAAACTGAAAAAGATTCCTGAGCATTACAATATTGCACTAGACACATAAGACAAGTTTCTAGATTGCATCTGTAAGAATTGGCTACAATAAGAGATAAGGAAAAAAATACTTTATCAAGTAATCTAGCTGTTGTTTGAGGAGGAGGACATTTGATCTCAAGCTTTGCACAAGCGTCTATGAGATATTTGTTAGCTTCAACACTTGAGAGATCCTTGGGTATATTCAAGTTTGCAACCTTCTCCAATTCCTCTACCATATCAATCCGTCTGCAAAAGCAAACAGCATAAGTATCTTGGTGCATTGAAAACAAAAGCAGAACACGACATAATAGAAGAGCTTCCAAACCTGAAGGGAGGAGTGAAGTCAATCTCAATGGGGTCATTCTCCAGCCCCTTTGCATGATACTTGATTATATAGCCACCTGTAAGTTCCTTCACCATCCCTGTTCATGTATTGTTAGAAAGATAAACTATAACAGAATAAATAAAACGAAAAGACTAAATATACATAAGCTTCCACTACAATATTTGGATCCCAGTTTTTTGGTACTGACCACTTAGCATTTTTTCAGTTAGATCCATCAAGTCATTGTAATCCGCATATGCCATATAGAACTCGCAAGTGGTGAATTCAGGATTGTGTGTCAAGTCAATTCCCTCATTTCTGAATTGTTTCCCAATCTCATAGACACGATCCAATCCACCAACAACCAGCTCTTTAAGATATAGTTCAGGAGCAATACGCATGAAAAGCCTCATATTCAAATCATTGTGGTGGGTCACAAATGGGCGTGCAGCTGCTCCACCAGCAATCATGTTCATCATGGGGGTCTCTACCTGTTACAAATAGGATTACGTATTTTAACTAATTTTATTCAAGCTAAGCTCATAATCTCAAATGAAAAAAGGTAAAGTAAAACAACTTCATAAACACTGACCTCTAAGAAGTCACGATTATCAAGAAAGCTACGAATATAAGTTATGATCTTTGTTCGGGTCTTAAATATGTGCCGAATCTCTAAGTTCAGCATCAAATCCAAATAACGCTGTCTATATCGGGTTTCCTGGACGTAAAGAATAAATGAGCCACAACACAGCAGAGGCATAAAATCTTTTAAAAGGAAATAGGAAGAAAGCAAGGCAATTGACAAAAGAAACTTTATGAAGAAAATAAAGGCATACCTGATCTTTCAAAACATATGTATCTGGATTTCGGCCACTTCCCGGGACCCATGCTTCAATTTTCTGCAGTACAATCAGATACCGTTCAATTAAACTGGTCTAAGACACAATGCAAAAAAAATTAGCTGACCTTAGTCGTATCCGTCTGGGCACCTTTCTGCCGTGGCATCATATGAAGACAATGAGACAACACTTCGAATGATTTGGGAAAAATACTCAGCTCTCCCCGTTTACTCTTTCCTGATGAATGAGGTAAGAAGAATTAGAAGAATATATTACTAAAACAAACATCGGTATTATCATCTTCTGCAGCCTGGGATATTTGCATAAACTACACCATGTCAAGAAAGATATTCACCTAGAAATTGTGGTGCAGACAATAGTATTCGAAGTGAGAAACTATGGCAAAACCCAGAATCCTAAGTGCACGTAAACACAAGAAATGTTTTATATTCAACATTAATGCTAAAATGATATCTGTTTATAGCTTTTTACTAGTCCTTTGAGTTCTTATAAGGAGGAACTTTGTACAACTAAGCTATTCTAGAAATTTTTGGCCTATGACTGAAGTAACAGTGAGGCGTGAGAGTACAGCAATACAGGATACCACCATAATGACTTTTCTAAGATTCAGGGATTGCAGGATAAGTTAACACCTTTTTGTTTTCAGTACCTTTCTCCTATATTAATCTATGGTGCTTAAGCATGTGAAGGAGTGATAATGAGAGCAACTTTTCTCTTCCAACGAAACTTGTTTTTCTAACACCATGACCAAATCTATCACAGAGAACATCTGCTATAAACTAAGATGACCTAGCGAATCCCAAACCTGGACACCCAGTAATTCCGACAATATCTCCACGCTTCACACCAGAATGAAATTTAATAAACACGTCTTCATTCAATTCAGAATCCCTGCACATACATCAAAGCATAATACTTCTCAGTGATAAAAAATAACTTGATCACTTAAGCAATTCAACAAACACAAGGGTCTTAAGACCAGAATTTCACAACGACGCACTGAAACTGTTGATGATGCCACTGATTCAGCCATGAAGTTTCAAACATGTTATAATCACATTTACAGAATATTGGTTTATGCATTTCCTAGATCTATAGCCTATGGTACAAAAACAAAAGGATAACAAAGATCAAATACCTCCCTTTGGCTCCAACGGACAACTATTCCCAAAAGGCACTTACTAGGTTGTCTTGGCCATTTACGGCTTTTTTGTTATAGATTCAAATAAATATAAGGAACAATTAAGATAAAGATATAAAGTTGTAAGAATGCATCCCAGGAGGAACTGGATGCCTCGAAGTTATGACTAGAACTATAACAGATGCTGTAATTTTTCTAGGAAGATTGAAGGAGATTTATGTAAAGAAGGAGAAATATCCCCCCC